GAGGACTTGTTAAATCAAAATAATTTGACTACCATTACTTAGTTTTTGACATTTGAAATGGAATCAGAAGCAATGTAACAAAAGAAACATAATGTTTCATTTAAGTTCTAATAGGATCTTTAGCGGAATCAAAAGAATAAACTAAAGAATAAAGCAAGTTTACTACAGCTATAAACACAAAAATAGTTTTGGATTTTCTATCCTTTAGGATTCTGATATGAAAAATGTAAGTTAGGTAGACGAACAAATAGAAGCAGCAATGAGATCAGAGGTTTATAAGGCAAGACAAACAACAACGATAACAGTTCGAGAAATAAGACCTCTTACTACTGGTTATCTGGTTGGTCTTCGTCATCCTTTTCAGGGTCGTCTTCTGTTTCTTCTTCTTTCTTCTCTTCCTCTTCTTCATCTTCTTCTGGAGGATCGTAAGGCATAGGAGGAGGCAACGGTGACTTCATAGGACTAAACTTGGGGAATATGTCTGGTCTCCTCCCTGGCTTTGGTCGCTCCCATTCCTACCAAAAACCCCAAAACATTAAAGACAGAAAAATTATGATGACTAAGCAAATGATAACACAATGTTTAAAGAACCAGAGAAAAAAAAAACACAGCATTGGTCTACGACCAAATTGGGGGAGCATGTGAATCAATTCATGACAACAAGAAGAGGAATTTGACTGACTACATTCCAATTAACTACAATCAAAGAACCTCAAAAAAAGATGAAAAGTTACACACCAAACTCCGTATTTGTTGTCATTAGATGCAGCTTCTCTCTAATTGATTCATACATAAAAAGGTGTACCAAGAAATGCAATGACAACTTCATAATCAGAAATTGGGAAAGCATGTGAATCAATTCATGACAACAAGAAGAGGAATTTGACCAACTACATTCCAATTAACTACGAACAAAGAACCTCGAAAAAAGATGCAGAGATACGCACAAAACTTGGTATACATTGTCACTAGATGCAGCTTCTCTCTTATTGATTCATATGTAAACTAGCGAAAAGAAGTTCGATTACTCAAAGCTCTGTAACCAAAGAAAACTCAATACCTGATAAGTCTAGCAAGTGATGAACATTGAACAAGATCAGTCATACTAATGAAAGCTTGAGATAGATAAGACTCACAATCTCCTTCTGCTACCAAATCATTCTAGTTTTTAAGGATGGTTTAAGAACTCATAATAAAGAATAACTCTCTTTATTAATCACCAAAGAAAATAACTCAAAACTTTGGTCTCTCTCAATCTCTTAAACACAATCTCTCAAACTCTCTCTCTCTCAAAACTCATAAGGCATACCACAACTTAGTAGCTCTTATATATCGAACCCTCAAAAACCTTTTCCAAAACCAATTAGGAAATATAACATATTCTAGATAACTCCTAGAACTTATATATGCATATTTGGATAACTCCCAAATATACTTAGCTTGGGCCTTAAGCTATTCAAGCTTATCCAACATTCTCCCCCTTAAGCTTGAAGCTACTTTCACTCACATCTTGAACTCCAATGAAACTCCTCATTAGTCCTTACACAAAGAAAATGTCACCGTCTCTTTCTTTGTGTTTCTTACGGCTTTCTTCTCTCTTATATGCTTGTATTTTGTCTTTAGGGTTCTTGGTCTTGTCTCTGTTCCTTTAATAATCAAGCATTACCGACTTGTATTGAGACTTCACAGTTTGGGCCACTTTAGAAGAAACCAATTCGGATTGGGCCAGGAAATGTGATTAAAGCCCATAACTTCACAATCTCCACCATGGGCTTTTGTCAAATTCAACTCTTTTCTTCACAAGCCCAGCCCATGAACCTTTCTTCCTCTCTTTCTTCTCCAACGATGGAGACGACCCGACAAGACTCTTCTTTTCCAATGACCAAAATTGAACACTATTCCGACGACGACAACTCCGGTCACCTCCATGTTCGCCGAAGACTTCTCCGACTCTACACCCAACACTTAAGAATCCTCTAAGACTTCTCTTTACCCGACTAAGCCGCCGTTTTTCTCTTCCTCCATGGCGAAACCGAATACCGATCTCTGCAACTCCGGTACCTATCAAACTCTTCTTCATCTCTACTATGACGACTTCAGTTTGATTTCTTCTGAGATTACAAATTTTCTGAAGTTTTTCTGAATTTTGATTCTTCATTTCACAGCTTCTCGGATGAACAAACGTGTGTTCTTCTTCTTCTTTGATGAGCTTTGGTAACCTTTGAACCAGTGATCATCTCCTTCACACTTTATCACTTCCGATTTCATAAACCCGTGAAATCATGTCTTTGATTTCACTATCCTCCTCACAGAAACTCACCTGGATCCTCTAGGTAACTCCATGAACCCATTAATCAATTCTAATTGTCTTCTTATCGACAATGAAAAATCATCTTAAAACTGACTTGTTTCCCTCAATAGCTTCTGTCTCAAGTCTCGGTAAAGCATCTTCTTCTACGGTGATCTCATCGTCATCGTTATCTTCTTCTTTGCTAGTGAGATGCAATTTCTACCACAAATCCTTGTATCTCCGGTGATTCCTCTATCACCAATACCCTCTGTAATCTCAGGTATTCTCAAGCTCCTCTTAACATCTCTTTTGAGATTTCTGATTTTCTTCTCATAGCTTCAGAACTCCACAGGTAACTCCTTTTCTCCTTCTTGTTGTGTAACAACTTGTTTTTCTTCCTTACACATGAATCTACCTCACATAATGAACTCACCTAAATCTTTTCTTCTCTTTTCTGCGAGGTCATTAACTCACCCGAGTTACCTCGAGTTGCTTCTTCAGTTAGTGGATATTAAGAAGTTCACAGCCACGATGGAACTTCATACTAGGTACCACTTCCTTCTGAACAACTTCTCGAATCTCGCTTGTGTGAAACTTTGGTAGTGTCACGTCTTTTTTTTTTTTTTGAAAAACTCTTCTCCTTTTTTTTTTTTTTTTTTTTTTGTTCTATCTCAAATCTCATCTTAGTAACCATAGAACACTTCTCTAATGATCTCCGAAATCTAACGATTTCTTCTTGAAGCCTTCCAATCGGATTAGTGGTCCACAAACACACGTTCCCATCAATTTCCCGAAAGGATCTTTGAGATCCTCTGTCTCTCTTAGAAGCATCATTACACAATAATTTTAACTCCTCTTCTTGTACTCTTTCTGGAACTGATTTAATTACAACAGACATTGACCCAAATTTCCAACCAATCGAAAAATCTCCTTCCTTTCTTCATCTTTTATCAATTCACGGTCTCCTTCCTTTCCAGTTGTAGTCTCTGTAGCAGCTCATGTTGCAGATGTGATTTTTCCACCATAAACAAAATAAGACCCTGAGTTTGAAGGCTTTCCATTGAATCCAAGACCATGTCGATCTGTTTTCCCAATGTTCAGAAGATGATCCAATTTGTCTGTGCCACTATTAAGCATTCTTAAATTCTTTTGAGTTTCTTCAAGTTGAATTCTAACTTGTGATGCTTCTTCTTCTTTCTCTATTGCATACTTTTGTCCTTTAACAATTTGAATCTCTAACTTGACTTTCTCTTTAGTCAGCACTGAATTTTCCTCAATCAATTTAAGCCAATGCTCATACAATGCTTTGTAATTTCCAGCAAATTTTTCATCACTGATGCTTCCTGTCATGCTATCACTTTCTGTTGCAGGTTTTGCTGCAGTTATAGGTGCTGCTATAGGAGTTCTTGTCATATAGCGAGAATATCCACTACTAGTAGCCCCATGTTCTTTTGTCACAATTGTCATATTGCACCTAAATCCAAGCCCTCGTGTACTTCCTGACCTTCTTGATGTATCCTGATCCAGATCAGATTTTCTTGACATACTTTTTGATGCATACAGATCAGATTTCTTTACCCATATTTGACTACGATATCCATTCCACAAAAATTTTCCTTGACGTCTGAGTTTGTTTACTTTTTCCCAATACTTGTAGCAGTAAGCTCTTATGTGTCCTTTCTTTCCACAAAAGTAACATCCAGTTTGTTTGATTGTATTACTCTCTGATTTGTCTTGTACTTGTTGAGCGACACCTCCTGACACAAACTTGATTTGTCCTGTGTTAGATCCTTCTTGTCCAATATAACCTAAGCCTCTGTTAGACTTCTCTGTTCTTCCATAACTCAAGATTGTATCAAGTGTTTTAGTCCCAGCAAACATGTGAATCTTCTTGTGTTGTTGATCAAGCTCTGATTGTAGTCGGGCTGATATTTCCTTCTCAGTACGTAAATCCTTCTCTAGATTGTCTACTTTAGCAGCAAGAGCCAGCTTGTCCTGCATCAATGTCAGACTCCTGTGATTTATTTTCTTCTCATCCTTCAACTCATTCTGCAGTGATTCAACAAGTGCATCAAGACAAATTTTTTCTTTTACCAAACCTTGATTCTCCTTTCCAATATTAATCAGTGCCTTACGAACTTCCTTGTAGCTTTCAACAAAGTCGTCTTCTTGTTCTTCTTCTGCATCAGATTCTGAAATTTCTTCTCCTTCTGAAGGATCTTTTCTTCCTTCCTCCTTTGTTTCTTTGATAACATTAATATCTCTCATACTTTTGATTGTAATCGAAGAAGCTTTTCCTTCTCTTCTTTTAGTCACAATGGCGACTTCCATCATAATTCTCTCTCAGGATCTCGAAACATGTGGCTCTGATACCAAATCTAGTTTTTAAGGATGGTTTAAGAACTCATAATAAAGAATAACTCTCTTTATTAATCACCAAAGAAAATAACTCAAAACTTTGGTCTCTCTCAATCTCTTAAACACAATCTCTCAAACTCTCTCTCTCTCAAAACTCATAAGGCATACCACAACTTAGTAGCTCTTATATATCGAACCCTCAAAAACCTTTTCCAAAACCAATTAGGAAATATAACATATTCTAGATAACTCCTAGAACTTACATATGCATATTTGGATAACTCCCAAATATACTTAGCTTGGGCCTTAAGCTATTCAAGCTTATCCAACAATCATTACCTAAATCAAACTTATAAGTATGATACTACAGGCACAGAACAAGAATCTGCTCATGAAAATTTCATAATCCAAACAATCTTGTGACTGAATTTCAAGTTTCTATATAAAATTGACATTCTACAAAACATTACAAGCACAGTAACAATGTGAAATTTCGACGAATCTGTATGCAATTTCTAAGAGGAATTGAAGGAAACAGATACTAACGATAGGGAAATCGAGAGGGTTGCGACGAGTGAGCTTCTCTTCTTCAGGAGCCATAGCCACCACCTGTAACTGCTTCCTTGCTTTTCTCTGCGTATTGCGGCTTAGAGCGAAGCGTTGGACGGAGACGAAAGAGCACGAGAAGCCATGGTTGATTCGAGAGAAAGGGGAAACAATAGATGGAGCAGGTCTGTTTAGCGACGGTGAAGATAGTGGCGGAGATAGAAGTGGACGCGGCGGCGAAGGTGATGCCGATATAGAAAGCGGCGTCATAGCTCCGCCTCGTTCTTCGATGGCTCTATCTGTTCCGTCAACACTTCATATTATTTCATTTTTGTATACATTTAATATAAATCAATTTATTGATTTTTTTTTAATATAACTCAATCCATTTACAGTAAAACCTCTATAAATTAACTAGGGTAAAAACCCGCGCTCCGCTGCGGGATATCTTTTATAAATTATTTTTGTTACTAATGACTTTTGCTTAAACTAAGATTATGTAGTACAAAGTTCACAATGAAATTTGTATTTTTTGGTTTAGACAATGAAAGTTGTCTTCCTTTTTTTGTTTTTGTTTTTTTTTTTTTTGAACAAAGTCTTCCTTTTTTTGTAATACAAACAAAAGAGTATCCAAACTTGAATTTAAACAATACACAAATACGAAACTTGAATTTAATATAAATATGATTTGTAAAACTTAAATAAAATTTTAGAATTTGATGGTTGACAGATCATTTTCACCACTTCATCTCATTTAAAAACTTTATTTTGAATTTCAAATCAAATAAACAAATTAATACACAGATATGAGAAGGTGACCGTGACACATTACTTAAGAAATCAATGCACAAAATTCTTCTTCTCTTCGTCTACCGGCCTTGGATTCATTAACTTCAACATCTTTAGAAAATTGCTCCACCTTCATCTTTAATCAACATTAACTAAATTGACCAAACGAACAATAGTGTATATATATGTACGGAAGAAGTGTATAAGCAAAGGTAGATGAGAAATTCCGACAAGTTTTCGGTAGATCCCATGGTACTTGCACAATCTCTCCTTCATTCTTTAGATAGATACAAATACAATTGTGGATGTATTAATATTATACAATTGTCCAACCATCTCAAGAGGTTCAATATGCATTACACGCTTGATACTTGATTGATTTAACTATTCCTAAGACCAATAGAATATATTACGTAAAGATCATCTATGGTCTCACAAGTCACAATACATGCATTCAAACTTTGGGGTGGACAACAATAGTTCCAGACCTAAATTATGACATTTAGGCAAAGTGAAATACACAGGAAACCTGAAGTATAAGTAAATAAAACATTAATAATTCTAGAATCATTAATCTATATCTCTGTCCACATGAAATATCTTAACAACCATATTTTCCATTAAACGACTGCAAACACTGATAAAGTATAGGTAGCACTCCAATATATAAAGTACGCAGCTGTTATTTGCTAATTAAATGATTGATTTTGAGCAATTGTGTACTTTTGAAGTCTTCTTTACACGAGTCTCAACAATAAGTACTACCAATTCAAAACTTCCATAACTAAAATAAGTTGTATAAACCTACCATAACTCCCTGTCGATGAAATGCCTACAACACTACCAACAATGACAAGGAAAGAAAGATCTAGATGGTAATGAAAGCAAAAAACAATGTTGGGGAAGGACAATATTTTTTTTTTTTTGGTAAAAGGGAAGGACACTATTTGAATCATGTTTGGAAAATAAGATGGTACTCCCAGTACTCTTTAAATCTTAATCAATAACAAATTTTGTCGGTGATTTTTCTGGTAGTTTACGGTGGTTATTAGAGCTCCTTCCGATGGCAAATCGATTCGACAACAAACCTTGTCGGCGAAGGCAAAACAAAAAAATAATCTTCGTCTCTCCACGTTTTCAAAGCAAACAGCGAAGGCACTTTCTTTAAAGAGGTAAACGGCGAGCACCGGCGGTTGGGGTAGGAGTAGCGGCTGAAGGAGTGGAGGAAGAGTGGTGCTGAGAGTGACGAGGAGATGAAGGATGGTGGATCTTGATGTTAGGGAGATGTAGATAATCAGATTATGGATTCATGATCTCTTTTTCTTCTTCTTCTCTGCTTGATTCAACAGATTTATAGTAACTTTTATTTTTTTTTCCGATCGAGAGGAAGATGATGACGAAGAAGAAGAGACAGCCGTGTTTTGTCAATTTTAATTAGTCTCTCCATGTTTTCAACACTACTTTATCAAGTGGACTTTTACTTTTGGGCTTTGTTATTTTATTTTTTTCGTCATACTTTTGGGCTTTGTTATTTTTTTTTTGTTTTTGTGTGTTTTTAATAATATGAAACAACAGAAAAAGGGGAGAGAAAGAGTGACGTGGCAAAATAGAAGATTATTATTGGCAAATAAAGTTGAGCTGTATTATTTAAAATGTTTTGATTAGAGTTTCTTTTTAATGATGTGTCATAACCAGGAAAGCTGAAAATGCTGATGTGTTAGATTAGGAGAGAATCCAATTGTTATTATTGTATTAATCCTATTGTTATTTTGAAATTTTTTATTTAATATAACTAAATAAAATTTTATAATTTAATGTTTTATTTGTATTTAAATTGTAATTATTTTTACTTCTAGGGATTAGTTTTTTATTTATGTAATTAGACTTTGTAATTATAATTATAGTCTCTATTGCCAATATTAATATCTAATGAAAAGATGATGTTTCAAAAGTAAAATTCTAGTATATTTTTCAGTTAATAATTTATTTTCGTAGCAAAGGTTATTTTTTGAATTTTTTCTTTAGTGATTTGCTATAATTAAATAAAATTTTTGATTTAATGGTTTACCTTTATACCACTCGGAACCAACTAAATAACTTTATTTTTAAAAAACTATCTTTATTTTCAATGCCAGTTTTCAAAAATGTCACATTTTTAAACCTTATAAAAAATGCTCCAAACAATATGAAATTTACCCAAATACATATGTAACATTATTAAAACATATACAAACTATCTTTATATGTATCTAAAATCTTATAAATACCGTATAAAACCTTTAAAAACCTTTAAAGAATATAAATTAATTTATATAATTTAAATCTTATTAATTATTTTATATCTTTTGCAACTTTAAAGAATTAATAATTAGAATTTTCAAAAATCGTATTAGCTAGAGACACTGAATTAATTACCATGTTCAGTTTTGTTTCGTACTTATATTTTGATTAGATATCAATTCTAATGATGTGTTACTCTGAGAATAGCCTAAAAAGCTAATGTATAAACACCATCAATTTTTTTTTAATATTATCCTTTTTATAATAAAAATTTTATATTATCACATATTTTACATATTATCTTTACAAAAATATATAAACTATTTAATTATATATATGATATATTTATTTTTATTATATATATGCAGTCCGCGGGGCAATCCGCCAATCTCCGGCATAACCTGCTAAACCCCGTAATCCGAGTGGGATTGCCCGCAAAATCTACTTTTTAACGGATTTAATATTTTGTGTTCATACCTGGACCGGACTGGGCTAAGCCCACGATTTTAGGGCCATTTTGATATTTCTATGAGAGATGATGATGTGGAAAAAAGAAAGGTTCTTATTGGATATTAAAAATGAGTTGTATTATTTAGAATGTTTTCATTGGTTATTCATTTTAAATGAGGTGTCAACTCCACAAAGCTTAAAAAAGCTGAGGTGTCAACCTCTGGAGAGTTTCAAGGGTTTTTATTGTATTGATAATGTTGGGACCAAAAATTTTATATTAATTTAGAGAGCTATTAATTTATCGATAAATTATTAATTTATAGAGAGATTTTACTAGTTTTGTAATTTCTTAAAAAATTTCTATCTAAAAATAAATTTTTTCTTTATAACAATATCTTTCTAAAACCAATTACAATTACAGAAGTAATTATTAAGTTTAAAAATCAAAACGAACTTTTTTTGAATAATAGAATCATATTTCATTAAATATTTTACATATAAATTTTAAATATATATCATAATAATTCATATATGACATAAATAAATTTATATCATATAGATATATATTAAGTTAAATATACATATATATGTATTGATAAGTTTATACAATTATTAATTTATGATATGGATGGGACCATATGTTTACATGAGATTTTAAAAAAAATTATTATCTTATTAATTTATCGATTTATGTCATATTTTACACTGGTCCCAACTCGGGACCGGAAGAATTTATTAATTTAGAGAGGTTATTAATTTATAGAGTCTTAATTTATAGAGGTTTTACTGTACTTTGGAAATTTTCTTTAACTAAAAATATTAAAAATGCACTAATAAATAATAATATAACGATAGGAGAAGTGTCTTTAGTATTTTTACCGCCGGAGTTCGATTTCCCTAAATTGTGTTACCCGACATATTAGAGATTGGATATAAATCGAATCTTGTCGATCATGTAAAAAAACAAAAAAAATAATACAATAATAAAAAGAATGGTTCATCTTATTCACTTTTACTTTTTTTTTTAAGTATACATAAAAAACTCGTACCATTAAATATTTAATCTTCTATAAAAATGTTAAAATTTGGTTATACATTTATAGTGGTTATAAATTATAAAAAAGGATAAAAATTTACGTTCAATTACACGAAATCGAGTTGGATTGGTGAAAGGAATAGAGATCGAAAGAAGATGAAGACATAAACGCGAACGATCAATTACTTTTATTTACCATAAACGCGAATTGTATTTAGTATTTACAAAGAAAACAAAAATATAAGTGTTTTCAAGTTGGAAAAGTTGTTCTCACTACAAAAAAAAGTGAATATTCTTACGGAAAAATTGTGACCATTGTTTTCGTAAGAAGATTGTGACTATTTACATACTAAATTGTGACGCATTTGTTTCGTCTTAAAAACGTTGCAATTTTGTTATAATATTGTGACTGAACTGAAAGTAACCAATTTTTGTCACTAATTATGTCAAATTTGTTACATAATATATAGTCACAAATATAAGTACGGATTTGCGACCAAATATGGTAACTAAATTATACGATTTTGTGACTAAATTTACGTCACCTTTAGTTACAAGAGTTTGGTAACTACCCTGTCATAATTAGTCACTATTTTAATGACTTTTGTGTTTAATCACAAATTTGTGACATAATTATTACTATTTTGTCACATGAATTAAAAATTAAAAGTGAAATAAAAGAATAATTTCAGTTCTTGAAAAACAAACAAATTAATTCCATATAATAAAAAACTAACCTTTCCGCTTTCCCTCAAA